ATACTGTTCAGCACAGGTTACTGTCTGATGCCCTGACTCCTCAGAAATAGACCTCCAAAAGGCCCTCATCTTCCAAGAAAGCAGACAAGTACACTAACTCTGAAGGCTCCTCACAGCCTGAAGAACAACGGAAGCCCCCTGTGGCAGAGTCACTGGAGGGAGGCTGCTCCAGCAGTTCAGAGGACCAAGGTGAGAGAGTGTGGCAGTTGACTGGCCAGAGCACTAGCTCTGACTCAGCACTAGTCCCACGGCAAGAGAAGAGGCTACCTCACCAGGTGCTAAGGTCACACCGTCGTCATCAGAGGGGAATCCGAAAGTCAATGAGAAGCTTGGGGTGACTGTCTCCCGAGAAGCCATGACAAGTTGGGTAGAAAAGCCTGGTGGATGAGATAAAGGCTTCCAAGAAGATGATCCTGCAGCCACTCAAAGGCCATCTAGCAATGGTAGAGCAGAGGAAGCCAGCCACATGTCACTTCCCCAGCCAGAGCCTCCAGGAGGAGGGAGCAAAGGAAATAAGAATGGAGATCACAACTCTAACCAGAATGGAGAGGGAAATGGCCAGAGTGGCCACTCCACAGTCGGCCCTGGTTTTACAGGAAGGACTGAGCCTAGCAAGTCTCCTGGAAGCCTGCACTATAGTTACAAAGATAGTTTGGGGTCAGCTGTGCCATGAATGTCAGTGGCTTTCCTCAGTATCCTACAGGGCAAGAAAAGGGGGATTTCACTGGCCATGGAGAACAAAAGGGTAGAAATGAGAAGTTCCCAAGCCTCCTGCAAGAAGTGCTCCAGGGTTACCCTCCCCGCCCTGACAGGAGATATTCCAGGAGTGCTCAGGAGCATCAGGGGATGGCTAGTGGGCTAGAAGGAACCACAAGGCCCAATGTCTTAGTGAGTCAAACCAATGAATTAGCCAGCAGGGGCCTTCGGAACAAAAGCATTGAGTCTCTGTTAGAAAACCCACACTGGGGCCCCTGGGAAAGGAAATCAAGCAGCATGCCTTTTGGAATGAAACAGATCAATTTGGTTGACTATCCAATTCCCAGAAAGTCTGCAACAGAACCTCAGTCATCAGCTCATGAGCCTGGGGGTTCCCTCTCTGAAAGAAGATCAGTGATCTGTGATATTTTTCCACAAAGACAGATTGTCAGGGCCCCTGGGGCTCACTCACTAGGACACATGGGTGCCAACACCAGAATTGGGAGGAATGAACATCTCAATCCAAGTTTAAGTCAGTTGGTCATTCTTCCCCGTGGGCTGGTGTCCGTGGAAACAAAGCTGAAATCCCAGAGCGGGCAGATACGAGATGAAGACTTTCAACAATCCAAACCACAAGCTAGTTTCAACAGCAAGAAATCTGGAGACCACTGCCGTCCTATTAGCATCAAGTGTGAGTCTTACTGTGGGAATGCCAGCCCTGGAGCAGCAGCCCATGATTCCCTTTCAGACTATGGCCCACAAGACAGAAGGCCCACACCAATGTGGTGAGTCCCTGGCAGAGGTGGTGGTCGAGAGGGCTTGAGGGGTCAGTCCTCTTGTCAGTATCATGACTCTGCAGAAAAGTTGAAGATGTCTCCTGGGAGGAGCAGAGGCCCAGGGGGAGACCCTCATCACATTAATCCACATATGACCTTTTCACAACAGGACAACAGGAGTTCCTTACAAGCTCCCTTTCTTCCAACTCAGAAAGCCTGGCCTCTGCCTATCATACAAACACTCGGGCTCACACTTATGGGGACCCGAATGCAGGTTTGAATTCTTAGCTCCATTATAAGAGACAGATGTACCAACAGCAGCAGGAGGAGTATAAAGACTGGAGCAGCAATTCTGCCCGGGCAGTGATTGCTGTAGCGCGGCACAGGCAGGAGGGGCTCCGGAAGAGTCCAAGGCAGCAGCAGTTTCTTGACCTCAGATTACGAAGCCCTCTGAAAAATGACAAAGATGGCAGGATGTATGGCCACCAGTGGGGACTTACCATGACCCCAGCACTCAGGAGGTGGGGTGCTGCCTCATGTCAAGTGACTGTCTGCCTGACAAAAGCATGGAATTACAGCATAGCTCCCAGAAGTTACAACAGGGATCTTGTTGGGATCTTTCTCGGCAAACTTCTCCAGCCAAAAGCAGTGGTCTTCCAGGAATGTCCAGTCAAAAACGGTATGGGCCACCCCATGAGGCTGATGGACATGGACTAGCTGAGTCTATACAGTCCTCCAAACCCAGTAATGTTATGCTAAGGCTTCCAGGCCAAGAGGATCATTCTCAAAACTCCTTAATCATGAGGAGGTGTGTCCGTTCTCTCATCTCTCCGATTCCCAGTAAGAGACAGTCACGAGATATAAAGAACAGCAACACTGATGATGTGGGTGTCTCCTTCACTCATCACAAGAAGGCCTGGAGAAGTCATTCAATTCCTATGTCCACCTCTCTCACAGTCAGCATATCAAGTCTGGCCCTAAGAGAGATTCCTCCAAGGACTTTCCAAGTCCAGATAATAGAAACTGCCCTGCTGTTACCCTCACAAGCCCTGCTAAAATCAAAATACTGCCCCCACGGAAAGGACGGGGATTGAAACTGGAAGCTATAGTTCAGAAGATCACGTCCCCAAATATTAGGAGGAAGGCCTCCTTCAACAGTGCGGAGGCTGGGGAGACCCGGTTACCCTTGATGACATCCTGTCTTGAAAGAGTGGTCCTCCAGAAGGTGGGAGCATGGCTGTTCAGGATGCTGAGATGGAGAAGAGAAAAGGTGAGGTAGTAGCTGACCTAGCTGGTCCAACAAACCAAGAACTGAACGTGGAGAAACCTCTTCCTAGGTCTTCAGGAGAGTGGCCTAGGGGTGAGGATGACAAAGTAAAGACAGAGACACGTCCAGTAACAGTTACTACTGGAAAGGAACCCCTGGTGTTGTGTCATCTGCCACCTCACAAAAGCCTGGTAGTAACCAAGGGAGACCAGATGATTTCTTGGGTGGAACAGCATCTTTAATCTTTCCTGACTCAAAGTAGGTACCTCCATGGGTAAACCCAAGGCTGAAGAGAAAGAGAACGTTACAGTTACAATTTCACCCAAACCAGAGGGTTTCCCCTCAAAGGGATATTTCCCATCAGGAAAGAAGGGTAGACCCATTGGTAGTGTGAATAAGCAAAGGAAACAACAGCAGCCACCCCCTCTGCCCCCCCAGCCCCCTCAAATACCAGAAGGATCTGCAGATGGACAGCCGAAGCCAAAACAGCAGAGGCAAAGGAGGGAGAGAAGGAAGCCTGGGGCCCAGCCAAGGAAGCGAAAAACCAAGCAAGCAGTTCCCATCGTAGAACCCCAAGAACCGGAAATCAGACTCAAGTACGCCACTCAGCCACTGGATAAAACTGATGCCAAGAACAAGTCTTTTTCCCCTTATATTCATGTAGTAAATAAGCGTGACCTCGGAGCCATTTGTACAATCATCAACGTAGAACAAACCCAACTGGTGAGGGGTCAGAAGGGTCAGAGGTCCCAGACCCCTCCGCCCAGCAGCACAGAAAGCAAGGCAGTCCCAGCTTCATCCTTCATGCTGCAGGGACCCGCTGGGGCAGAGTCTTCTGTTCTGGGGCACCTGGTTTGCTGTCTGTGTGGCAAGTGGAACAGTTACCGGAATATGGGTGAACTTTTTGGACCTTATTATCCTCAAAATTATACAGCCACTCTCCTGAAGAATCCACCTCCTAAGATAGCCTCGGAAATGCAGAACAAAGTTAAGATACGGCGCAGAAGAGCTTCTAACAGCTCCAAGATGGACACCGAGGAGGAAGAGGAACAGCAGCAGCCGAAGGAGCAGAGGAGCCCGGCCACACCCCCCAGGGGTAAGCGGAGCCACTGCTCAGAAGACTGTGGCAGAGGCCCCCAGTCCTTGTCCAGGGGATGTCCTTGTAAAAAAGCAGCCACTGAGGGCAGCAGCAAAAAGCCCTCTGTGCCCACCACTTCAGAAGGTGGCCCCAAGCTGCAGTTACAAATCCCTGAACTACCTCTTGACAGCAGTGAATTTTGGGTCCATGAGGATTGTATTCTCTGGGCCAACGGAATCTACCTGGTTTGTGGCAGACTCTACGGCCTGCAGGAGGCGCTGGAAATAGCCAGAGAGATAAAATGTTCCCACTGCCAGCAGGCAGGTGCCACCTTGGGCTGCTATAACAAGGGCTGCTCCTTCCAATACCATTACCCATGTGCCATGGACGCAGATTGTTTGCTATGTGAAGAGAACTTCTCGGTGAGGTGCCCCAAGCACAAGCCTCCCCTTCCGTGCCCTCCGCTGCCTTGCAGAACAAGACCGTGAAAGGCAGCCACAGCACAGAGCAGGCGGAGCAGGGGCGAGGGGGGTGTGTGCCCGTGGGAAGGGAGAGGACAGCAAGCATGGGGGAGACTGTGGAGATGAAAAGATGGTGGACACCTGAGTTGGAAACCGTCCCACCTGCAGCCCTGCCCTGCCCCGCCCCACGTACCCCTCATGCCAGCACCTCTTCCTAAGCTCTCACATCACACTCAAACCAGTGACACCATAGGAAAGAAAGACTCAAGATGTCCTCCTTGAATGGCTGTTTCCATGGACACAATCTCCATAGTGACAATGGGGGGGTGTGGGAGGATAGGGATGGGTGGGGGGATTAAAAGGGAGGGATAAAAATATACATATATAAGTCTAAAATAAATAAATAAATAAATAAAATAAAATAAAAATTGCTGGGCATTGTGGTGGGCACCTGTAGTCCCAGCTACCCAGGAGGCTGAGGCAAGAGTATCCTTTGACCCCAAGAGACTGAGGGTGTTGTGAGCTATGACACCAGAGCACTCTACCCAGGGTGAAAGAGTAAGACTCAAAAAAAAAAAAAAAAAGTGTTGGTTAACCTCCTGTTATCCTGTTAAATCCTATTTTCTGTGATCATACATTTTATTTTTTCTGTATCATAAGTATTTAGGATGTTAATTTCATACCCAAGTTTTAAGTCATTCGACATTTCAAAATGATGATACCTTTCTTCTTTGAGTTGGGGAAACACTCATGCTCTTCTTTGACGGAGATTTTACAGCTCTTTATCCGACAGAAAAAGGATCGTCTTGAGCCAGAGTACATGTGCATCCTTCCAGCGCGGAAATGACTATGAACTTGCAAACCCGCTTTCACAGCAGAGGAGGGTAAGAGAGTAAGTGGAGGAGAATATTGTCAAAAAACTTTGTAATTTATCTCCTAACATTTTCCGATCATTATTGAGAAAAGAAATGGTTATTTAAACCAATGGCATGATTGTACAGTAAACACTCAAGTGAAACCTACCAAAACATGGATTGGTCAAACAATCACATTTTGATAACTTATAAACACTTGTAGTGTATCTTAATTTTTTCCCCCAGAGGGTAGATATTTGAATTATTTCAAAGTTATTTTGAATGAAATGAAACAAAAATTAAATGAAAAAAACCTCATCTATGACCTCATTGATTACTGACATCATTATTTTTACAATAATCATTTGGCACTAAGCATGTTCAGAGAAAGTAAGTCTTTTTTTTTTTTTTAGACAGAGCCTCAAGCTGTCCCCCTGGGTAGAGTGCCGTGGCATTACAGCTCACAGCAACCTCCAACTCCTGGGCTCAAGCGAGTCTCCTGCCTCCGCCTCCCAAGTAGCTGGGACCACAGGTGCCCGCCACAACGCCCGGCTATTTTTTGGTTGCAGCCGTCATTATTGTTTGGCGGGTCCGGGCTGGATTCGAACCCGCCACCTTAGGTGTACGTGGCTGGCGCCTTAGCCGGTTGAGCTATAGGCGCCGAGCCGAGAAAGTAAGTCTTTTCAGAGAAGATAAAGACTTCTTAGACTTCCCAGGCACAATCACAACCCACTAAGAGAGGAGACCTACCCCACATAAGAGAATTGTCTCTCAGCATACACCTAAGCAATTTTTTATGTGAAATAATATTTTCGTGGAAAGATTCTATTTCCATATGCAATATGGCAATATGAAACAATCATATTTCCCTCCCAAAGCATCTTCATATCAAGATTCATTCTTATGTCTGGATGAATATAGAAATTCTCTATACAGCTATATGTATTTTTTTAAACTCTGAGGGTAACAAATGCAAAGTATACTAAAAAATTCTCCTCTTGATAAAACTTGAATTAGCTGTTATAAAAACACTGGACTACTAGGTAATAATTACATTGACATCAAATGATAAGCATGCTAAACACTTACTTTTGGCGTCTATAAGCTTCTCTCTTGGTGAAATATCAGAAGAAGAAAGTTGTTCCTTTACTTTGGCCACATCTTTTGGATGTAAGAAGTCAAATAAGCTTTGTCCAGTCAAACTAGCCTATTCACAAGGTAGACATTCATTTAAAATCAGTACTGTACTTTTTCTACATTTCCTGATAACAGACATATGACTTGATATCCTCTTTTTGTTAAAGGTTGATTTTTCTCAAAGATACATCTACAACACTAAATAAAATTAACTTGGTCAGTGTGAGAAGCAGGGTGACACTTGTGGATAGAAAAATATAACATGCGTACAGGACCAAAGCTGGATATACACATGCAAATATCTAATCACTGACATTCTGTTAAAACTTGTTACTCTTGTTAACATTCTCCAATTCACAGATTACTTCTAAGTGATAATGATTTACTTTAGACTTTTTTATCTTTGGTAAAAGGAAAGATGTTAAATTATAATAAAATACAAAAATCACCTGTGATTTTACCATAAGACTCAGAGATTTACTATACTGTTAAAGAAATTACCATACTATTGAAAAACAAAACCCAACCCAGAATACCTCTTGATTTCCCATTCCACCTCTCCCAGTGTACAGAGCACTCCTTACACAGCCTCATCACCCAGAACTCATTACCTGTGTCCACAAACTCGGTTCCCTGACTACTCCAGCCAATTACCTTTTATTCCCTGGACTCCCTAGTTTCCCTTTCCCAGACAGAAATGTCTCTCTCCTTTCTCTGCTCATTTTAAAGACTCCCTTCTGACAGGTCTAGCAGACATTGTACTTCACATGTGAAGCTCTACCTGACCCACAATTATCACCTTTTCTTCCTGAACTCCTGTATTACCCAAGTAGACATTCCTATGGAAGACAGAACAAATAAACAAGCTGGAACAAATAGCCTGGACTACATGGCAGTTAGATATCTCCCGCTAAAAAATACTAGTACCTACGAAAGAAAGATTTATGCATCAGTCTATTCTATGTTTGGTTAATATAACTCTATATCCTGAATTCTCTAGAGCAAATCAGGTTTCTGAATCTAAAAAGCTGAGGATGAGACCCTATATTATGAAAATCTCAACATCCTCCTGAGCAGCCAGGGAGTCTCTTAAACAGATATGCAAAGTCAGTGCCCAATCACTAATGCCACATCACTGATTTGGAACTTAAGTGCTACCCTGAATTGTCAGCTCTGTGTGTGTGTGTATAGTCTTTTCTATCTTCAATTAAAAGATGGAATAATCAAGTCTGGTTCCCCCAGCTATAAGCAGCTGCATGATTCATTACAATTCACTGGTATTTGATCTTTCTGTATATAAGCTCCTAATATCTCTTTCTCTGTTATTTAACTAATTATTTATGAATGCCTTATATGCCCCAACCTTGAAAACAAGTTGAAACTCATGAGAGTTACTCACGATCAAAGCTATGATCTATTTCATATCTACTACTAGTTTATTTTATTTCAATGCTACAATTTTTGAGTAGCTAGTTTAAGTGGTGTTCAGTAAGTAGGAGGTAAATAATTACATAACTAGTTAAATAAAAGGTGTATTTCACAGAGTATTGTCAGAGGTTAGATTAAAAGCTGTCATGCAGGCTCGGCGCCTATAGCTCAACCGGCTAAGGCACCAGCCACGTACACCTAAGGTGGCGGGTTCGAATCCCCAG